ACCTCCAACTGACTTGTGCACGGCACCCTACTAACTGGTCTCTAGCGATGTGCCAAATTTGGGCAAAATCGGACCAGCCGTTCTCGAGATCTGGAAGTGGCACCCTGCACGTGCGCACGTGCAAGATGGGTCCCAACGGACTTGTGCACGGCACCCTACTAACCGGTCCCTAACCGTGTACCAAATTTGAGCGCAATCGGTCCAGCCGTTCCCGAGATCTGGAAACGACCCCTGCACGTGCGCACGTGCAGCAGCACCCCAACTCTGGCACATGTATATGCAGTGCCTAGTGGGTGCCTACCTACATGCCAACTTTCAGCGCAATTGGCCAAGTAGTTACCGAGATATTGCAACAATTACAAAACTGACACCTCTTCGTTTTGCACGTGGCACGTGCATAAGGGGTCACCCACATGCATCGGGAATAGTCCAATACTTGGTAGAAGGAATGAAGCTACCCTACAAAAATTACCGCGTGTAAATCGGTCAAGTGGTTGCTGAGATATAAGCCTCGCAAAAGCGTGACCACGATATAAGCCTCGCAAAAGCGTGACCACGGCCGGCCGGCCGGCCGCTCATACTCAGAAATTTCCGTTAATCTAAGGAAAGACTACGCTCGCTTCGCTCGCTCCGTAATAATTCTTCTATTTGAACTTTCAAGTTTTCTTAATTATTTGTAACCTTTTCTACCAATGGGTATCGACCTTCCGACTGAATTTGGCTTTCAGCTAGTTTTTTTTTATAACTAACCATAGCTTATCATTTATTGTTTTGGCTTCGCCAGCACTAGTCTAACCCTGCCCTGTCCAGCGGACCGGTACCGATGTGTGGCCGCGTACAGAGTTCCCGCGGAACAGACGTCACGCAGTGTGGGAGCCGGTCCTCCAGTTGGCGGCGATCGATGCCGTTCAAGGGCACGGCCAAACACAGGACCGTCTCCGGAGCGCAGAACGGGGAGGAACACAGGACCGTCTCCGGAGCGCGGGGAGGGAGGGACACAGCGCCCGTCTTCGGAGTCCGGAGCGCGGGGTAAGGAGGAGGAACACAGGACCGTCTCCGGAGCGCAGTGACGGGCCGGAACACAGGATCGTTTCTGGGGGGCGGGAGACGGCGGCGGTCGCCCGAACGAATGCAGGCCACAAGGCTCTAAGGGCCTCAGGAGACAGGCTGCACATCTAGGGCCCGAACGGCTGCAGGTGCCGAGCCCAAAAGGCTGAGTTTCACGTCCAAACGCAGGTGTCGGGCCCAGGCCCATGCCGCAGGTGCCGGACTTTAACAGCTGTAGCTGTGTCAGCCCCGGGATAGTCACTAGTTTTGAGTAGGAACGATTCATCAGCTAGATCGGGCTGTCTGTTTTTAATCATCATTTAAGTATGCGTTGCTATAACAAATCAAGCAAGAAAAAGTTGAATGCAAACAAAATTTGCATTGAACATCTTAATCTATTACAGCCATCCGTTAAAACCAAATTTTAGCACCGGATGACATATCACCGGGACACTGGAGGAAATCACCGGATGACATATCACCGTGAACTGGAAATCACCGGATGAGTCTCGAAGTCGAATCTCCATCATTTCAGCTGCAAAGTCCTTTTGCAGAGTGTCTCAACTGGTGCTATATATGATATCAAAATGGCATCTACATGTAGCGTATTTGGTGCGGGGATATTCCATTTGATATTCTACCCTGCTATGCAAGCATACCATTATTCCCCATGGTAGTAAGTGGTGCAGCGAACAATGACCACGTGTCACCAGCTTCCTATACCCCCCCCCCCCCCTACAATCGCGGGCGGATGCCACTTGTCAAGGTCGTGTGACGTCACGGTAGCTTTCAGTGGCTGTTCCGCCGCCAGCACCGCCCCCGGGCCCATAATGGAAATCAATGGGATGCCGCTCAGCGCTGAAAAGGCGGCCGGACCGACCCCCGGCGGCTCTGCTAAAATTCGGACGGACTGACCGGCCAAACTGACCCGCGAAACGCCAAATCTCTCCGACATGCGCCGAAGTAGAGGTGGGTGTGAAATCTTGCTCTTCATTACTAAAATAACAAATTTTAGGTATTAGCTTTCATATTTACCATAGTGAGGCACACATGTGCTGACGCGATCTGGTCTCAGCCAATTTATGCGAACAATTGAAAAAATCAGCATTGAACAATTCGAAGTAGGAGTCAAACGTATAAAAAATAAGCTACTGCATATCCGTTGCTACTGCCCTCCCCCCCCCCCCCCCCCCAGGGGCAGGGCTGAATTGACATATGACGGACAGGCATGCTATCACTATTAGGAGGACCAGGCTGTGACGGACAGGCCATCCGGTAGTGACCCGCCCGACCGCAGCCGGGGTGATAGCGGGTCGAGCCGCCGCCCCAGCCCCCTGTCCGGGCCAGCCCAGCAGTGTCTCAGGGTCGCAGGATCGGCATAAAAACCGACATAAGTCTGCCTATCGCAGACATCCTGCGGACGAGGCGCCTGGACTTTGGCCGAATAGAGCGTGGTACTTACACGGATGTCGGAACGTTACTGACTGGGCTTGGTGAAACGATTAAAGACGAAACAAAAACCTCGTAAAGAAGTCTAGGCACAGGATAATCATAGTTACATAAATAATAAATACAATCATCAAAATGTATCTCGGATCTCCAACGGTCAGGTAAATGATTCCATCTAAAGGCATGGGTGAATATACAGCAGCATGTGAACTGTGAAGTCCAGGGCGATGGCATGGTTCATTAGTGCATACAGCTATTCCAGTCGAATCCCTTCTCAGGCCTTCACTATGGATCCCATCCCATCCCTATCGACCTGCAGTGACGTCTGTCCTCTGTCCGCTGCCGTTCGCTCCTCTCCCGGCATCCCGTGCCCCCTCCCCCCCTGACCCTCCCTTCCATGACCAGCTGTCTGCCAAACCTGCCTGGAACTGGATTGCACCGGATTGGGGCGGCGCCTGATCCCACATACGGCTCCCACATCCTGCGTGCTTGGCATCAGCCCCAGGCGCGGCGGCCGCGGGGGGATGGTCTCCTTTTGACCCGGTGTTTGACATTCTATATAGGGCAGCCTATAGGAAGAGTATTCGGCCCCTTGCCAATAGGTGGCAAAAACTTAGTAAAAACATGAAAACTTATGTTATAATAAATTTAGTTTTTTCGCATTTCCTGGCATTTGATTTTGTCAGATTGCCAACAAGTTTGTGGTGGCATTTCACACTGAAGAATGGACTAAAACGTTTGCTATCGCAGCATTTAAACGTGCACCCTGCGGCTCTTAATACGGCCTATGGGCTCATCATGTCACAGTTCAGCAGAGGCGGCGCGGCAGAAGATAATTTGGGATAGGGGAGCTTTGGGTAATATCGGACAAGTGCAGTTATCTGATAAACTCTCCCCCAGCTGTATGTTAACTCAAACATTTTATTTGGAAAAAAGGGTAGCGCTTACTTCCTTTGTCGCCACTTCCCCTCGCAGGTAGTTTGCCGCTAGGCTGTCATAATTTTTTTTTTACGATAATCGCCATTTGTCCTTCCATCCATACAACTTATTAATTACCTGTTATCAGTGTTATGGCAGAGATAAAGAAGTTGTAACTGCCAAGTTGCACCTTCTCCACTTACCGGAACATTTTTGTTATCGATTATGAGCCAACTATGTGTTCAATGTGCTTGTTGCACCCATTTTGCCGCAATTTGAACGTCCTACGTGTTTGTTATTATCGGACACCCATCCGATATTACCCGCGCCCCTCTGGGGGTCCTGAAATTCCACGCCCTTCCGGGAAGGGGGGTTGCTTAGCCCCCCCCCTTCTAACTCGGCTCCTGGACCACGAAGCGACACGCGGAGGGCGGCGTTCGAAAGAGCATGCAAAATAATGACGAAAATATTTTGGTCACTTTTTTGGTCAGGTCGGTCATGGGACTCAGGTTACCAGCAGTCATTAAAGGTCAAATTTCACCGATTTTCAGGTAGAATATCGACAATTTGCAAGAAGCTGACGGATAACTCGGGAACCAATATCAATATCAAGACTCTTGGGATCCATTCGGATGCCCGTCCGTAATTTGCTGCTGCTGACCGATAATATCCAAGTAACTTTTTTTTCTTTAAAAAATCGCTGCGCTCCAACGCGACACCGTAACTTCAGCGGACTTTCTAAAAACAAAGTTTTGGGCTTTCTACATATACCTATTTGTATAACTCCAAGTTAAATAAAAATGATAACGTCCATGCATAGACCACTATATACGATATATAGTGGTCTATGGTCCATGTTATGATGACTTGAAGTTACCCGACCGATAATACCCAAAGTTCCCCTAGGTCAGGGGTTTTGGAGCGCAACAACGCTCAGCCCAGAGGATAAGAGCCGGTCCTTTAAAGGGACCCTTCCACCTTCAAAAAAGTTAATGAATTGGCATAAAAGTGCTGTCGCCTGGTTCAGAGTAAGCAAAAATGAATATATACAGAATTTCATTGAAAAATATTAACCGGTTTTTGAGATATTACATAGACAATTAGGTACTTTTGTTTTTTTTTTTTCAAGCCTTCGCTTTTCCTATCGACGTCATTTTGAAGCAATAATTTGGTATCTTAAAAGTGCGGCAAATGTTGCGCGCAAAGCAGTATATACCACCACGGTTTACCAAAGTTTTTCCTGGGAGGGGGGGGGGGCAAAAAGATACGTTTGCCCCATCTCTGAAGGTGGGGGGGGGGACTGTTATATACATACCTATACATACCGCCGCCACCCCAGCAATTCACACCCGCACATTTGCAGACAGATGATCGCCAAGGAATCCACACACATTTTCAGCGACGCCAATACCCGCCGTGAAATGATAGAACAAGGCTTCCTGCTAAAAAAAAAGTACCTAAGGAAAATCGCTATTTGTTCCAGCCAACAAAAAGGTGAGCACCGAAACGGCACGCCCCCGGCCCGGGTTCGATCTCTGTTGGAACCAGTAAAGGTCCTAGGGAATTAGGAGGACTGCTTTACTGACCTGTTGGCCTTCCACCACCAGTGATGTTTGGTCTGTGTGAACCGTGCCTCTCGGTAGTGGCCGTACTTGTCCGGATAGAGGGCGTTCACACAGCCAGCCTTCACAGCCCTGTGGGTATACGGCGCAGGCCGGTCAAAGGAGTGGAAGGAGTGGACGGTAGGCAGTGGTGTTGTTCTTTATACTCTGCAGCAGTAACAGCCCCCCCCCCCTCATGGCCCATCGACAGTGAAGGGGTACTGATAACGAGTGAGCATGAGCATTGACGCAAACAACGATTGAACATGAACATTGAATGCTAAAATCCGAACATGGACTATGACCATTGGACAATGGGCAAATGGTCACAACACTTATCAAATATCACTGATAAATGATGATATTATGCACAGTGCACGCTTCCGAAAAAAATTCATCCTGCAGGCAAATCATAACGTCAGCTAACTACCTGCCAGCGATTTCCATCCACCTTTGTCTCTGCCGAACAGTGAAACCGCTCGACCGTCGCGGGTCCATTACCGAAATACCGAGTGGAGGGGAGCCGCCGCCCCTCCGCTGGGGGGGGGGGGGGCGGAACCCGACCCACCCTCGGTAATACGACACTATAGCACGGGGCACAGGGCGGCGCACTGCCGGCACAGAGAGCGCCGCGGCGTCACGGGACCGACACGGGCCATAGGTACCACAACAGCAGCTGCCGGAGCGCTCAGAGGGAAACGGAGGAAACATGCAGATCAGAACTACTTAACAAACTACTTAACATCCTGGGCAGTATGCAAACCGCTTGGGTAGTGTGAGTATCAAGTATGCATAGTATGTTTGAAACAACGTGTTTTAAACAAATCAATTATAGAATACTACCCGACCCCTAGGGCAGTATAACCTATGCAATGCATACCGCAACCAAACGCAATAATTTGCATTCAGTGAGTTCTGTGCCAGCGATCCATGGCGAACCGCACGCAGTATTTTATTCCGCCCATTCACTGCAGCTGTTGACAGTGAGTCAGCCAGCGACGTGCTCGTTATCAGCGGCAGCACGGCACAAAGGCCTCACTGGCGCGGCAACACTGGCGAGTGGAAGCAGGCGCACGCGTGACAACAACTACATAGCAACGCGGGTCATTCCCCGACCAAGCACGCAAACTTCGCCACCAACAAAGAAGTCACCCGCTGCCGCCGTTTGACATTCACGTTCATTTAACCGTATCTGCCACTTACCAGCATGTGAGGGGACCTGACAGGACAAATGCAACTCTCCACACACTCCCCGGATGATTAGCAAATGCCTCCCTCACCTGTATCCCTCCCAGCTGCTTGTGGCATACATATGTTTCCTGTCACTCACCTGTCTCTCGTCATGTCCCTGGCACAGTCCTGCGCTGATTGGCCCGGGAACGTGTGCGGATGCAGCTGCAGCGAGAACGGGTAGAACACCTGTATGAACCGGCAAAAGTCCACGCGGCGCACCTCGGCGTTCACCGCCTCGTCGAACACGTCATGGCTGAAGACGAGCAGGACGGTCTCGATGCCGCGCGCCGCTCGCAGGCTGCCGATCAGCTGGCGGAGGTAGTCGAGGCGCGTGTGCACCTGGATCACGATCACCACGTCGGAGGGCTGCAGGGGCGCCGGCTCGCCGCCGCCGGGCGCGCGCACCACCTGCTCGTCGTTGAGCCGCTCCACGGTGCCGGCCAGCCAGGGCGACAGCGGCGTGGTGGGCGGCGGCGGCGCCGTGCTGACCGGCGACGATGACGGCTCCGACGGCGAGCTGCCCTCGGAGGGCTCGGCGCCGGCCGGGGCCGCCGACGGCGCCGGCGAGTGCAGCTGCAGCAACAGGAAGGCCAGCACCAGCAGGAAGACGAGCGCGGTCCTCAGCAGGCGGGCCAGCAGCCGCGGCAGCATGGCGCCCCGGCGCCGCCTGCCGCCAGACACGGGGTCAATGTGAGGTCAGATATAGGCGAGGTCTGACACGGGGGTGGGGTCAGGTACGGGGCGAGGTCAGACACAGGGGAGATCAGACACATGACGAGGTCACAGAACGAGGTGACAGGGCGAGGTCAGGTACAGGACAAGGTCACAGGGCTAGGTCACAGGACAAGGTCACAGGGCTAGGTCACAGGACGAGGTCACAGGGCGAGGTCACAGGGTGATGTCAGACAAAGGGCGATATGCCAGGGAGAGGCCAGACACAGGGCGAGGTCAGGTGCAGGACGAAATCACAGGGAGAGGTCAAAGAGCGATGTCAGACACAGGGCGAGGTCACAGGGCGAGGTCACAGGGTGAGGTCACAGGGCAAAATCACAGGGTGAGGTCATAGGATCAGGTGAGGCACAATGTGGATACATGTTCCAGGATGATCGGAAACAGTAACTCGGTAACAAGAATCGGGAATAAAACGGAATATATTAGGTACGTGGATGATATATAAAGATATGTGTGCTTATAACTCTACTGCGAAACAAGTGCCTGTTCTGTTTACACAGATAGTTGTGTTTATGTTATGCCAGTTCAAGTAGTCGTCCGTATGCGGGTAAAAACTTTTGCCTGTTGCGAAACCGCCGCTAGAACGGCTCAACTCCAGTATACATAGGGTGTATCGTCGAATTTTGATTTTTTTTAATCGTCTTCACTACTAAATTTTATTGGTCCCTGGCATGTTTGAAGCCGTAGGATACCAATCAAAAAAATCTGGGACGAAAACCTAGCCTGCTGCGAGAGGTTGAACGGAAGCCTGTCGGGACGGCGCCAGGCGTTGAAGTCTCCCCGTTAGTTACGCGCACACTAGCACCACGCGGCGGCTGGCGCCGTGCCGCCGCGTTCCCGGTCAGCCGCGTTTTAGCGTTCACTGACGGGTCGAGGTGATTATTCTAAGCTTTCCTAAGAAGCTTTCTGCCCCGCAGCTCATTATTGAGCAAGAATATCGCACAAACTGCATAGAACATTGACATGCAGGTTGTCGGCACATATGGAGAAGGGGATGTTTTGGTTAATGCCTCCTTTAATGGGAAGAGATTGTGGAAGAACAACACATTTCTCTTGGCAATTACTCATCCTCCTTCTTCCTACGTGCCTGCTTTAGTAATCGAAGTACCCCTATTGACTCTACGTTCTTGATTCGGCTGTCGATTTTATGCATGGAATTCTGCTATATTATATTTTCTCGCTCAATGTCCCCTGAGCTATATTGAGGCGTCACGGGACAGCAATGCTCAGCTCACAACTGCAGGGAAAAAGTCAATGTGGTCATGCGTTTTGTATGCCAAAATGTGTGAGCCTTGGCGTGTACCAGCAGCCGTTGTCACCATTGTGATTTTCACGACTTTATTTTTATAAGGATGCAATTGCCCACTTCCCAGTTCCCAGACTGGGTTTGGAGATATAGTTTTACAGAAACATTTAGGAATGTCTGTAATGTAAGTTAAAAGCTAATACCGAAAGGAATCCACATATTTTCGATTTCCTGTATGCTGTATTGCTTACGTCATGCCAGACGTCATGATGGCATGGTTGCGATTGATGGTATGTCGGATGGTCAGGGTACGAACTCACGGTAAGTCAGCTTGGCCGGCAGGCATCAACAGGCACAATAGTCTTACACTGATATCGTCACCCTCAGTTATTCGTCACCATTCAGCAGCAGGCCCAGAGCTTCGGGCTTTGAAGTTTGAACCGTAAGGTACACTGAAAGAAAAAATGACACCCTGTACGGGGTATTGACGGTCATGTCAAAAATAACACCCGAGTGGGGTGTTTTGAGGGGAGTCGCTGAGCTATTATAAATGGGGTGTTTGGCGTACACCCCAGGAGGGTTTCGACGCATAGTGGGGAGTCGCAGCCGCTAAAGGGGGGTCAGCGCCGGCCCACATGGGGTTCCGTTAGACTGCAGGTGACACCCCTCAAATATCAGCCGAGCACCCCTTTTTGGTCCCTAAGCACCCGACATGGTGTCAAACCCCCAAATTAGGGTGTAAAATATAGCAGCTCAACTCCCCTATTTTTCTGATATAACTCCCCATATCGTTCCTGACCCCCACGCGGGGAACCGCGCGCCTTCAGCAGGGAATCTCTCAGAGAAGTTTCACTCCCCTATACTTCCGAAAAACTCCCGGCGAGGATTAAACGTCCTTCGGAACGAGAATCTCAGACTATATTTATAACCGGGTGAGGAGTTACTCTTTCCGTTCGCGGCCTTGCGGCGCCCTGTAGTGTGCACGACCAACGTATGACACGGTAATCAGTCTAGATATCATCATGATATAGTTGGCCACTCTACGCTATGCACGTTTTTGCCTTAGCTCCAAACATGCACCAGCCATTCGTGAAAAACAGGTCCCGATTTTACCAACTTTAGTTTGCGCCATCTATCGGTAGGATTTGAAGCTGAAAACACGGGGTGTCACTCCAGGATAATGACACCCCAGAGGGGTTTCAACGGGGGTGTCTCAGCGACACTCCAATTTTTTGGCCTGCAATTTTTTGGGAGTTCGCTAGCCGAACCTCTCCCAAGGGGGTCATGTACATTTTTGCGGCGTCAAAAGGTAATGGGGCTCCCGTGTCGGGTGTCACAACACCCATGACATCCTAAAATCATGAAAACGGAGCCTAATTTAGGAGTATTTTGGAGTATGTGGTGTCAGATTGTAAGAAATGGGGTTCCCCGATTTTTTTCAGTGTACAGGTGTAGGAGCAAGACATTGCGCCGATTCGAAGGGCTGGAAGGGCAGCATCGCGGGGGCTGGAATGCGCCTGAGCGGCTGAGACCATCCCATTGGGACGGGGGTGTTCTGAGTGCACTCAGCCGCTCATGCTGGGAAATGCATCCAATGGAGCTCTCCCCCCATCCCCCCGTTTCGAATGATTAGGGTGACCTTTAGTCTAGAACAAGGCAGGATGACTGTTGGCTGGTCCCGAGGATAGATACAAAGGACAGGTAATGACATCATATAATGAATCGAAGACGGCCCCGGTCCGATCCTCTGATAGAGGTTCAACACGTATCTCGTTGTGGACTATTTCGTTTTCCTCCACCGTAGTTTTTGCACCGACCTGAACGGGTTGGAAGGTAACGATGTTCAGAAACCATTAAGATCGTAATTGTATATTCGTTGTATATTCGTTCACTGAACAGGTAGGACAGGTTCAACACAGTCAAAACCTCATCCTATCATCCAATAATTATAAAGTACTCTTCATGGAATGGAAAGGCTAACCTAACTCAACGAATATACAATTACGACCTTAATGGTTTCTGAACATCGTAATCTTCCAACCCGTTGAGGTCGGTGCAAACACCACGGTGGAGGAAAACGAAATGGTCCACAACGAGATACGTGTTGATGAGCCTCTATCAGAGGATCGGGCCGGGGCCGTCTTCGATTCATTATATGATGTCATTACCTGTCCTTTCTATCCTCGGGACCAGCCAACCATCATCCTTCTTTGTTCTAGACTAAAGGTCAGCCTAATCATTCGAAACGGGTGGGGATGGGGTAGAGCTCCATTGGATGCATTTCCCAGCATGAGCGGCTGAGTGCACCCAGAACACCCCCGTCCCAATGGGATGGTCTCAGCCGCTCAGGCGCATTCCAGCCCCCGCGATGCTGCCCTTCCAGCCCTTCGAATCGGCGCAATGTCTTGCTCCTACACCTGTGCCTTACGGTTCAAAGCCCGAAGCTCTGGGCCTGCTGCTGAATGGTGACGAATAACTGAGGGTGACGATATCAGTGTAAGACTATTGTGCCTGTTGATGCCTGCCGGCCAAGCTGACTTACCGTGAGTTCGTACCCTGGCCATCCGGAATACCATCAATCGCAACCATGCCATCATGACGTCTGGCATGACGTAAGCAATACAGCATACAGGAAATCGAAAATATGTGGATTCCTTTCGGTATTAGCTTTTAACTTACATTACAGACATTCCTAAATGTTTCTGTAAAACTATATCTCCAAACCCAGTCTGGGAACTGGGAAGTGGGCAATTGCATCCTTATAAAAATAAAGTCGTGAAAATTACGATGGTGACAACGGCTGCTGGTACACGCCAAAGCTCACACATTTTGGCATACAAAACGCATGACCACATTGACTTTTTCCCTGCAGTTGTGAGCTGAGCATTGCTGTCCCGTGACGCCTCAATATAGCTCAGGGGACATTGAGCGAGAAAATATAATATAGCGGAATTCCATGCATAAAATCGACAGCCGAATCAAGAACGTAGAGTCAATAGGGGTACTTCGATTACTAAAGCAGGCACGTAGGAAGAAGGAGGATGAGTAATTTCCAAGAGAAATGTGTTGTTCTTCCACAATCTCTTCCTATTAAAGGAGGCATTAACCAAAACATCCCCTTCTCCATATGTGCCGACAACCTGCATGTCAATGTTCTATGCAGTTTGTGCGATATTCTTGCTCAATAATGAGCTGCGGGGCAGAAAGCTTCTTAGGAAAGCTTAGAATAATCACCTCGACCCGTCAGTGAACGCTAAAACACGGCTGACCGGGAACGCGGCGGCACGGCGTGTCGGCCGGTGGAATTGCCGACTTACTTGGAGGTTCGGTGTGCCGATGCGTCCCCAAAGCCGGTCTCGAGCACTCTCTGTATTTGATAATTCACGCACGCTTTTATACAGGATCTTGCACGCACAGCGCGATCATATAAGGAGCGTCATGCGGCAAGCGCATAAGCTTATTCGAGGAACGACGCGGAAACCTCTGCAGAACCGGTCAGTCGTTGAATTAATAACCCGGATCTGCAGCGGGCCGCACGCACCTGAACAAGGCCATACGCGCTTGTAGCAATAGTCCTTTGAACAAAGCCTTGCGACATTACCTCCCCTCCCCCATGAGCCGACAATAGGAGGCGTCAGAACAACACACGACCGAGTGAAGAAGTAGACGTCCCGAGCTGGTGGGTGACT